TCTCCCTTACTCACCCAGCCCCCCTGGGGCTGGATGCTATGGTGCAGACGTGGCCGAGGCTACGTCTGTACGCATTTCCCCCTGTTGCTCTGCTCCCAGGAGTTCTGGAACGAGTCCGCCAGTACGGAATAAGCCTACTGCTAGTAGCACCACGCTGGCCGAGTCGGATCTGGTTTGCGGACCTGATCCATCTCTTAGACGGTCCTCCCTTGGAGATCCCGATCAGGAGAGACCTTCTGTCTCAGGCCGGGGGCACAATATTTCACCCTCGACCAGAAATTTGGAACCTGTGGGTTTGGCCTCTGAGGGGGCCCAACTCATAGAGAGTGGTCTCTCAGCTGAGGCTGCTGAGACCATTCTAAGCTCCAGAGCTCCAGCTACTAGGAAACTATATGCGCTTAAATGGAGAGTTTTTTCTGTATGGTGTCACCGACATCAGTGGGATCCAGTTAACTGTTCTGTGAACACAGTACTCGAGTTCCTGCAGGAGCGCTTTACGTCAGGTCTATGTCCTTCCACGCTCAAGGTCTACGTGGCGGCCATTGCGGCTTACCACGCCCTGGTGGGGGGTACATCGTTGGGTCGAGACCCCCTGATTACACGTTTTCTTCGTGGCACTTTGAGGCTAAGGCCTGCAACTCGCACTAGGGTGCCAGCTTGGGATCTTGCTTTAGTACTAGAAGGCCTGTCTAGGGCTCCATTCGAGCCCTTAGATTCGGTTTCAGAGAAGTTTCTTACCTTTAAGACTATCTTTCTGCTAGCTATTTCGTCCCTTAAGAGAGTTGGAGACCTTCAGGCCCTTTCGGTTTCCCCCACTTGCCTTGAGTTTGCACCGGGGATGGTCAAGGCATTCTTATATCCAAAACAGGGATACGTCCCTAAGGTGCCGACCTTGACTCCGAGGCCTATTGTGCTGCAGGCTTTCTGTCCTCCTCCTTTTACATCTGCGGACCAGGAAAGGCTGAACCTCTTGTGTCCAGTGCGAGCACTGGATACTTATGTTCATCGGACATCGTCAATGAGGAAGTCCGACCAGTTATTTATTTGCTTTGGATCACCTAAGAAGGGTCTTCCTGCTTCTAAACAGACGGTTAGTAAGTGGATAGTTGAGGCTATTTCACTTGCATACGAGTACTCTGACCTGCCGTGTCCTTTGGCGGTCAGAGCTCATTCTACGAGGGGTATGGCGGCCTCTAAAGCCTTACTATTTGGAGTTTCTCTTCAAGACGTTTGTAATGCGGCAGGCTGGTCCTCACCGCTCACATTCGTTAGGTTTTACAGCTTAGACCTGGATGCTGCCCCAGGTTCTCAGGTGCTTAGTGCTTAGTTTCAACAGACTGACACTCAGGTACTTGGAATTCTGGCGTTTTGGGTATTCTCATTCCCAAGGCGTCAAGTGACGCATCGAGAGTTCCCTCGAAAGGGAACGTCTCAGGTTACGACTGTAACCGTAGTTCCCTGAGAAAGGGAACGAGACGATGCGTCACCCTGCCATACTTCCTGCTTCCCTGTGATCGGCTTGCTTCGACTTTTTGAAGCTAATGCCGCGTTTCACCGGGTGAGCCTTTATCCCTTCCTGGTCATTACGTCACCCGCCCGTGACGCTCATTCTTTCCATTGGACTAGTTGACATTGATGCTCAGACGCATGCACGCTGGGGGCGTTCCCAAGGCGTCAAGTGACGCATCGTCTCGTTCCCTTTCTCAGGGAACTACGGTTACAGTCGTAACCTGAGACGTTCTCTTTTGATCAGTTATGGGCCATTCACACACAGAATGTGTTTTGCGGTTAAAACGTTTTTTTTTTTACTTTTTCTTAAAAAGTTTTAAAAGTTGAACTTATTTTAACTTAAGCACCGCATTTTTAGAACCCTATGGCATGCATGAGACGCTGCAAACATATGGATTCGATACGCAAGTGGAGGCCACAACGAAGCTGCAGCGACGAACAACTCGGATGGGATCGGAATTTTTCAAAACAACAATTCATTGTGATGGTCATATACCCTATATTCAGTCCAACAGAAACTCTCTCACAATGGCAGGAGTGTGGCCGTGGTTCCAATCCATTCCCTCAATCTCCACTAAAACTCCCATGGCGATGGACAATGTGGCCGGCTCACACACCTGGTCAGACGTGTACTCGGGCTCAGTTGCTACTTCTTGTGCTGGCTCTCTGTCTGCGTTTGGCTCAGGCGTCGTGTCCATCTCACAGGATGGTTTCAGGCTGGACTCTGAGTCGGGATTGAGGATGGTGTCCTCCTCTGGGCTGACGGTGAAATCCAGTCCATTCATCACCAGAACCCACTCCATGTATGCGGCGAAATCCCCCGGGGCCAATTCGCTGGCAGACGTGCCTTCGTCTGCTTGCTCAGGCCAGTGTGGTAAAATACGCTGAGCGAGTCATCTGTATAGTGCGTCAGGCACACCAGGTCGAGGAAATCCTGGGTGTGATCCATAAGCGAAAGGTTGCTCTGCTCCAGGTATAACAGTTTGACAGCTGGCAGATCCATGGGGGAAAAGAAAACAAAAAACAAAACAAAACAAATACACACAAAAAAGACGCCGCAAATATATCTTCTAATATATTAATCATATAGAATCTTCATTAGTTGCTGATGCAGTAATCATTAATAAATGGTTTAGTTCTTCATGAGTCATACATTAACACATGATTATCTGTGCATTAGTTAAGCATGAATTAATGTATATTAATGCACCCATATTGTAAAATGTTACCAAAGTTATTATTATTGTTGTTGTCTTTTCTTAAATGCATTTTTTTACTGTATAATAGTAATAAGGTATGTGTATTATATAATAATTATTGTGTTAACACATATTTTTGTATTTACATGGCTCATATTGTGACAATCCATCTGGTTGGTCAGTTAACATGTTGGTCAGACCAATTAGCGGTTCTTGCCCAGAATAAGAGCAATGTGGGCAAGGTTGCCTTAAAACTGAAGGCCATGTTATCTTCCATAAGATATTATGTTAACAACTCTGATAATGTCAAATCAACCTCAGCCTTCCAGTAAACTATACACCCAATGTGATAAATTTATTTCAGGCTGACACTTTGAGTAAACATGGTCAATCACTTTTAATCCCTCCATATGGAACCTGCAATCAAGACAGACTGAATCACAAAATAAATCTTTACAAGCCCTTAGCTTCCATACAACTAGCCTATTTGACTCACATTGTTTTTTGCTGTGTGCTTTTTTTAGCTTGTGGATTCAATTCTGACAGGCAAACAAGATTGCGACAGGCAGTACAACAAAGCAAGGATGATTCAAAAGAACGCCGCACTTCCCTCAGCAGTCTAACGTGAATGCTGAAAAGATTTTTTAAAAAAAACAAAAAAAACATAGAATAAGCCTGCCCACACAAATAGTCAAAAAGAGAGAGAGAATGAGTGAGCAAAGAGGAGAGGAAAGTAAGAGTGAGTTGGCTGCCTGTCATTGCTCTTCATCTGTACAAGCATCAATTGTTATGTAACCTATGATTTAACTCTCAAATCTAGAACTAAAATTAGAGATGATAAGAGATTCCACCACAGGCAAATTTCAGCATATGTCTAACTGGACATTACAGTTGTTCGAACACCAATACCTCCAATCAAGGGCGTAGATTTGGTTTGAACATTGGGGGGGTTGAAGTTTGGGTATGCCTCCTGATATTGTGATCATGGTATAAATAATGGGGGGGTTGTAATGCATAGATTTAAATATTGGGGGGGGTTATATCCCCCCCATCCCCCCCCCCCCCCCCCCCCACAAATTACGCCCCTGCCTCCAATTATTTTCACAAAGCATGAGACCAGCACCAGCTCCAGTGGTGTAGTTTGAGTCAATTATCCAATTTTCTGATATTACATTTGGACACACAGGGAATGAGAGCAAATGTGTGTAAAAAAACAAAAAAAAAGGTCAAGATTAAGACCATGTGAGGAGAAGAGAGCAAATAAGATTTAGTCACTCTGCCAGTGGCCAGTTTGGGGTTGAGGCCAAAAGTTAGTGCACAGTTCTGTGTAATTAAGTGGGCAAAATAAATAAAAAATTGATTTTAGCACTGCTAAAGCCAGTAACTCTGACTGGGACTGCGGCCAAAGATTTTTCTGCAGGGCTATGACACTGGTAAAGGACTTTACAGGATCAGAGGAGGGAAGGGGAAGCAAATTGGACTGTTTGGTACAAAATAGGAGTCAACACTGTAAAAAATAAAAAGATACTTAAAGCACCAATTGGGGTTCCACAGACTGCCACACTGAACGATCCCTCTAGAGCAGTGATTACCAACCAGGGCAATGCGTACACAAGGATATATTTAGAATTTGCATTGTTGAACTGAAATGATAATTTATTGAATAATTTTAATAGGACAATGTCAGGGTTGTCAAACCATCTGTACATACTGTATATATTAGTCACATTAGTCATTTTTGCATACGTGCACCTATTACTCTTTTACTTTATTTTCTTTTATGTCCTTTATTTTCTTTATTACTGTGAATCTTTTTGGTTGTGTGCACATATTTATTTAATTTGCGGGGGGTGGGGGGATCTGTTGTAGATCTGTATTCTGTTTTTAAATTTTGGTACTCTTAATTTCCCTTGCTTTAAAAGGCTGTATGTTTGTCTGTCTGTCTGTCTTTTCGTGATTACCAGAAGTTGAAACCTGTGAATGACCGAAAATCTCAAGTGCAAGTGCATCAAAAAACCCTTCACTTATTATGGTTTTACTGAAGGAATCAATTACAGTTTTTAGAGTTGTTGCAGTAACTTATCAGAGAACTGCCCCTTTCGATACGGGTCCTACGTTTTCTAGACGTTTCCAGCAGCGTGTGGCAGTCTGATAAACACAACATGGTACATCAAGTGTCTTTTTATTTTTACTGTGAAAGAATTTCTCACAACAGATCCACGTAAGACGTTGAGGGACGGGAAATGTTTAAATACAGTGCCCAAACACACAAACATAGAGAACACACATCACCTTGACTGCCTCTCCGTGAGTGACTCGGTCAAACACCATGTTATTGACTTTCATGATCTGGTCTCCAACTCTCAGCCCCTCTCTCTCAGCGGATGATCCCGGCTCCACCAAAGATACATAGATGCCAACTCCATGCTCTGACCCACCCCGTATGCTGAATCCCAGGCCTTCGTGGCTCTTGCTCCTTTTCAGCGTAACTTGGCGGATTTCATCAGGCGCTTCCTGCATCAGCACCGGCGCTGTCCCCTTAACTGTGGTGCTGAAAACAGGAGCCGCGCGCACAGGTCCATGACTGGGACCGGCCTGCTCGTACTCGCGTAGAAAGTGCACCGGAGATGCTCCTGCATGCGCGTTTGTGCTGCTGATGTCTTCCGAGCACTCGTGCTTGATACTGCCTGTCAGCAGATCCGTTTTCAGATAAAGCCCTTCCGACGTGTACTGGTCGAACAGCAGCTGGTCCGAGCGGGGTATGACCAGGCGCAGCATGGGTAAAAGTTGGCGCTTGTTGGGTGTGTTGAGAATGACTTTAAGAGTCTGCACGAGATCGAATACATTGCGCTTGGCGTGGTAAATGTTGAGGCAGTGGATGAACTGCTCCCTTTCGAAGTCGTTGAGCAGCACGTTGAGCGCGTTGTGCAACTTCTTGACGTTAACGGAGAGCGCGCGGCCACCGGAGCCCAGCGAGTTCGCGCCCGACTTGAGAGAAGCGCGCTCCAGATCCGTGCTCATTCTCAGACACCTCAAAACCACAGGGAGATTTCACATCAGGCATTAGGAACGGAGCACGGTCAGTGTCTCTTGTTAAAAACAGAAATGCAGCGCGATTCGTGCGTTAAACCTGTGGTGATTCGTCTCATGCTGAGTTAAATCCTCGTTTGAGAGCGCGCGCTCAAAATAACAACGATACAGTAAAATGGCAGAATAATTAGTGCAATACAGTTTCGAAACTTTTGATCATGAATGAAATTTGTTTAATGGGCACTTTAAATGCTATAGTAGAAAAAGTCCACTGTTCTTCCAGAGAAAAACAACAAACCCTAATTAAGTCCCGCGAGGATTTGACGTCCGTAATAGTGACTTTAATCCTTTTGGTAACACATTATGCGAAAAGAAACGGGCGGTGAGACGTCCTGCAACGAGAAAGAAAGAAAAGAAAAGAAAAAACAGCACGAACGTTTCAAGTTTGGCAGCCGCGCTAAAAAGAGGAGCGCGCGTGGTCAGCTTTGTGGCTCGCTCGGATTTCTTGTCGCTACTACTGAGTCCGTTGTGAGATACCGACACAGGCGCTCCGGAGGAAATGACGCAAGCGCGATGCGCCTCTGTTGCTTAGGAACAAACAACTAGGAACGCATTTGGACAAACAAAACCACATCTTTCCTGCGCGTGAGCTATTTTTAATGTTCAAGGTCCGCCGGGCCATTGACGTTTATCAATTGAAAAGTCGTTTCCAAAGAGCATTGTGCACTTAGGGCCATAACGTAAAAGTTCGTAATGGTGTTTCTTACAGGGGAAACAGTCGAACTGGATCTCTACTTTACATATACTGTATAGGCAGATCCTCTACGTGTGATGTTTATTGGGGATCATGTGGAGCCAGTCTGTCAGTATTGCAAAATAAAACTCAGGACAATCAGTACTGGCTAACCATTGTCCCTTTTATTTCGAAGCAAAACTACTAAATAAATAAAGCATGCTGATTTCAGCTGTAATGAATCCATTATCTTGTAGATAAGCCTTAAGTTTCTGCTCAGAAAGATAGTCCTTTGCTACGCAACAAGTAAATACATTTTAATATGCATTATATATTATAATATATGCATTATAATCAATCTGCTATTAAACGTGAAAGTATGGTGCTAAGAGCAATGGTGGAACATCCCATTTAGAGATCAAAAATATATTCCGCAATCAAAATAAATCAGAGTCAAGTATTTCAAAGAGCCATTAAATCAAGAAAAACATATTAACCTAAATACATTTTTTCAGTAATAATTAGTGGAAAATAAATTTGATTCTGATTGACGTTTTCCTTTGGAACACTTAAAAAAACATGAAGTTAAGAGGAGGTAGCGGAAGCTGTTTTGAACAGATTTACAAAACGAGGGCAGTGTTTGGATATGTGTGTGCTTTATTTGGAATTGCTCCATTTATACAAGCTCTCTAATCCTTTGTGCCTGTGCAAAGAGAGTAATGTCACATCTTAAACTGCAGCTCTGCTCTGTGTTGTGAAAACCCAACTCTCACAGATGCTGTGTCAGATAATGCATCTGCTGAGAAAAGCTGCATAATCCATACTGTACATTCAGGCCAGTCCATGAATTGTTTTGTATAACAATAATAATTATCCTTATTATATTGGTTCAGTCTATGATGTCTGATGTGCTAAAAAGACAACCAGCAAGGTTTTAGGCCAGACTTTGGATTTCAGCTGCTGTGAAGCTCAGTTCAAACACACGTGTCATCCTCTAAGCTCATAAAGAGGAATTAGAAAGGCCTGTCAGCATACATCCACTACCTGCAGTACACAAACCATAGTCTCTCTGAGAGCTGTTAATAATCTTATATGGACAAACTGTTGCTCCCTTTAAGGATTTATTTAACCTCATCCTTTTCAAGTCTATGTCTGCATTGACCCAATTCATTTTCAATGTAACTAAGTAAAGCTTTATTTATATAGCACCTTTTAAAAACAGTGTTTACTTGAGATACTTTTTAAAAGTGCATAGCGAGTCGATTTACTGGCACAACAGCAACAAAGTGTATTAGTTTTGGCAAAGAATTTACAGCATGGCTGTACATAGTAATGAAACGGAAGTCGCAATCATCTTTTCTTCCTTATTGTTACATATATCCAAGTAAAACGCTTCTGGAACAAGAAAAAGATTGGCAGGACTTGATTGGACAGTTGTGGTTTGCTATTACTGTGATCTCATGTGAGTGACAGGTTGGGACGCCCTCCCGTCGGTAAACACATCATCAGAAAAGAGAACCGATATCATTACAAGGGCATTCATTTTTTTCACATAATGACACACATGAATAAATCATGAATCATAAAACAAATCTTGCTCCATGCTTAATCTTAGAAAAAGTAAATAGTAAATGCATTAATAGACACAGTTTTAGGTAATAGTGGCCCACAGCTGCTTTGCAGAAGTATTTCAGTAAGACAGTGATAGCTAGAGTTAGTCAGTTAGCAGGAGACCTACACAATATAAAACTCAAAACTAAGTATTTTGAACACCATCTTTCAAGAGCAAGCGGTTTGCGAATCCTGCATTTAACTAAGATTTGAGAAGCAGTCGTCAGTAAAATAAAGGGAACACCGCAAAAGTTTAGGATTATACTGCTGTGATATCGTGGTAAAGATTCGTTTTAACCACCGATTCTTCACATGCTCGTCCTTGGGCATTGAAAAAAATGGCTTTATACCTTCACATTGTAGAGCACAGCGCCGTCTTCTCGACATGATGCTGTCCAGTATCCACAGGAATCAGCTGCAGTGTTTGAGGGGGTTCAAGTTTGTTTCGTCTTGACGTCACAACGAAACGGTTTATGACTCGTTTGAAAAACGATTCATTTCATTGACTCAGAGTCGACTCTTACTTTTGAAAGACAATAACTTTATTGTGCACTTTCAGATTTAAAACTTTGCAGGATGTTTTCATTCACTTAGAGCTATGTTACACACTACATGAAAGGTCATTTTCAAAAATCCATAATAGGGGCCCTTTAATAAATACTGCAATATTTCATAATAAGAGAATTGACCATTCTCTTTCTAAAGACAACATGATTTCATGTTGACTTTAATAAATAAAACAATAATTCAAATGAAACAAAGAGTGCAGCATAATAAAATTAGAGAATAAGTACTAATAATTAAAATAAATAAATTACAATCACATCAGTCGCAAAATTAGAGATTTAAAAAGGTACATTTAAGATCGAAATGAGACTAAACACATTTATAAACTCTCTCAGCTAAACTTTCTTCATCATTCTGGATCTTCAACCCACTGGTTTACAGCCATTTACGATGGTGGCATTGGAGCAAAGGAGTCAAATTCATTTTTAATTTGCAATTACAGCTCTTGGCATCAGAGCATGGTGGCAGAAATTAATGAACAATTAATGGGCCTAAATGAGACAATAGAGATGCTCACTGATCTTTATGCATTGCAGAAGAGAGTGTATTACACCTCAGCTGTAAGTCACACATAATACAGACTCAAAAGTAATCCAATTAGGTGCTGAAATACTAAGAATCTTTGTCTTTCCTATCTTTCTCTCGACATGTACACATGTTTGAGAGAGTGATCTAATAAAGCTGTGTGGTTAGGAGGATGGTTTAACCTAATTTCAGCAATTCCTGTTCTCTTGACTTAAATCCGAGAATCCAGATTTCTCCATGCACCACCACAGTTGGTCGGTTTATGCTCTCCACTTTCTGGATAAAGAGTTCCACATAATCTTATGAGTACCAAGCGAGTGATGCACTGAATAAACAAATAACTTTTACGACAGGTTATGCTGTCAAGGCCATTAAATTACTGCCGTTGGCTGCACTACATAAAGACCAAAATACAGTTCACTTACATCCCCTATAAAAAAACAGACAGAAGGTCGTTTTCACACTGAAACATGTTAAACTTAATAACTCCCTGACACTTATTCAATGTCTTTTACAACAGCTCATAACTGCAACACAAATTTTCACTCTTCAACAAATATAAACCAATAAAAAATATATAAGGTAAAGAAGGTAGAAGGGGAAGAACTGATCAGTAAACGTTGAGTCAGAATGCGGTACGGCTTTGATTAATAGCAGAATGCTTAATGGGAATTGAGGGAAATGTGCGTCACGCTGGGCTCTGCCAAACCCATAATTACAGCAATATAAAAGAGCAGAGGGATCGTGTGCTGCAGTGTCATGCCCCAGTGCCCAGTCTGACAGAGCACACCACGCCATTAAACACTGCATTACGGATACCTTGCTGAGGTGTATTCAGCTCTCACTACAGGACAGGGGGATTTAAGAGCCATTTTATGACATATGACCAAGTCTGAACAGCAGTGTATATTGTATAGGTGTGATGCAAGTTAAATCCTTCTGCTGCACTGCTGTTCAAGTTTGTATATGATACTGTAGATACCGTTTCAGCTGCAGGTTAATAAGAGGTGGGTGCTAATGATGTAAACTGACATCCTATGGAGCACTATTTTAAACTTTGGATTTGGCCTCTAGCCGCCCTGTTTTGTGATCTTAAAAAGTACCAGAAATTCTCTCTTTTCTATTAATATTAAATGAACTCACTCTGTAAAGAAAGCCAAGAGTTTCCAGTTTGACGTTAAATTCACACAGGCGTGCAGTCCCAATATACATATATTTTAGACCAAATGATATTATTTTCCTGTTAAAAGCACGCTGTAATTTCATTAAGTAAATCAGGGAAAATGTTATAATGGAAAATTCTTTTTTAAATACCTTTGGAACATAAAAAATGATGGAGGGGATAAATTAATTTGATTTAATCTTTCAAAATCTATGCTCAAAAGTTATTGTGATCATGTTCATAGAAACAGCAGTAAAGAGAAGGCACAATTCGGTATAAAGAAAACAAAACTTCTGATAAATACTGTCATTCATTTCGGCAGATGGATGCCTCTATACTGTCGCTGCACATAAGAAAGTTCTTAATGATTGAACGCTAATATGGCCACTGTAGATGTTTAGAGGCTGTGTCAATCTGTTGATGCCCCGCTGATGCTCTCTGTATCCCGATGAGCAAAACTTCTAGGGAAGATGCCGATTTTTCCAGCAATGTGCCCTTCTAGCCACTCCTCATTCACTGCAAAATGGAGAGAGGAAAAAAAGAAAAAGACTTTTATTACCCCAACACTGGTGTGCAAAACAAATTAAAATTCTCTAATAATAAAGAAAAGACACCCCTGTGTTTACATACCTT